TGTAAGGGCCATGCCAGCGCAGGGCGTGCCCGGGCACTTGGCTCCCCCCTGGCGCTGTCACCTGGAGGACCCAGTGGACTGCTCACTTCCCAGCTCCCCTTCTCCCTGTCCTATTGTAGCACGTTCTCCTTTAAAAAAAAAAAAAAAAAAAAAAATATATATATATATATATATATATATATATATATATATTTATTGATTTCAGAGAGGAAGGGAAAGGGAGGAAGATAGAAATATCAATGATGAGAGAGAATCATTGATCGGCTGCCTCCTACTGGGGATCGAGCCTGCAACCCATGCATGTGCCCTTGATCAGATTCGAACTCGGGACCCTTCAGTCCACAGGCCAACACTCTATCCACTGAGCCAAATGGGCTAGGCCCACGTTCTCCTTCTCTGCAGAGCTACAGCGGGCATGGTGGATGCAGGCAGGACCTGCTCAGGGGCTCAAACCCTCCAGCCTCCCCCCACACTCTGCACACCTGCCTTCCCCTGACTCCCTCTAACGCTTGCAGTTTCTCATGCCTCTGGTGGTGGCTTCTTTGCTGCCCCTGACAGGTGCCTGCCTTCCTGCTTGCTGCTGCACAGCCTCCTTCCTTGTCTTCTACACTTCCTTCTAGAAAGGTCGCCTTCTCAGGGAGGTTGTCCCTGACCTCCCTCGTTCACTTTGCACCTGCCCTCCCCCTCCTCTTCCGGCTTTGACGTTCTGCCCACCACTGGTGTTGACTCATTTCGTGTTCTGGCCCCACCCCCACCCCCTGCAGGAGAGTGCCGGGAGGGCAGGGGCTCCCTGTGTCCCTCACCACTGTGTGCACAGCGCCCCCGCTGACACCTATCACTGAGTCACACTGGCTGGGTAGAAGGCAGTGCCTGGGGGAGACATTTCTGCTCCCCTGGGGCAGCCTGTGCCTCAGGCCCCCACTGGCAGCCCCATGTGACTCCTCCGGCAGCAGGCACCCTGACCGGGTTCTGATCTGCCCCAGAGACCACACTCCCCGCGGGCCTTTGTCCTCCTTGGCCCCGGCTCATGGGAAGCGTCGCCTCTGGAACACCAGCGGGGCTCGGAGACATCACCTCGCCTTCTGGTGGTTTCAGCTGCATCCGGGCGCTCTCCGGGCTGCTTGGCCTCGGCGAGGCCCCGGGGAGCCGGTCAGGTGACGGACTCCTGCTCCGGTCATGGCAGCGCCTCGCACAGAGCACATCTCCGCCTGTGCACGTCCCTCTCTTCTGGACCGCAGCCCATCTGTGGGTCAGGCCACGTCTACGCGGCCTTGTCTCTAAACAAACCAGGGCGGAGGGAGGCCAGGCGTGAGCAGGCCCAGCGGTCCTGCCTTAAACCAGGGCTCACGGAAAAGAGCAGGAGTCACTGCGAAACTGGCGGCAACTCAAGTTCACTGGCCTGCTGCCCCGGGAGGGTCCACCCTGGTGCCCAGCAAGGAGCCCGCCAGCCAGCTCTGCTCCCACTGAGCAGATGGAGCCACGGCCTTCCTCGTGGAGTCTGTTGAGTCAGGTGGTCAGACAGCTTCCAGCCAGTGGAAGGCGGGGTGGGGGTGGGGAGCTTTGTTCCTTAGCCCACCCACAGGAGTGCGTCTTGTTTGTGTCCACATTCTCTTCTGAGAAGGGGAGGGTGGTGGGTAAGAAAAAGTTGAGTCCAGCAGGTATGGCTCAATAGTTACAATAGTTGAGCATCAACCCATGAACCAGGGTGTCACCGGTTCAACACCTGGTCAGGGCACATGCTCAGTAAGGGGTGTGCAGGAGGCAGCCTATCAGTGACTTGTCCTTCTTATGAAAGGCTGAATCCTCTCCCTCTCCCCTCCTCTCTCTCTGAAATCAACAAACACATATTAATGGGGGAGAAAATAAAAAGTTGGGAAAGCTACCCAGATAAGCCATTGAGCTCGGTCTTAGCTTGGATCTTTGAAAAACTACCCCGCCAGCTTTACCGAGATACAGTTGACAAATAAAAATTGTATGTATTGATGGCTTCCAACGTGATGTTTTGATTGTGAAATGATCGCCACAGTGAAGCTGATGAACACATCCAGCCCCTCACGGATTACTGTTTATTTTTGTGTGTGAACACTTTTAAGATCTACTGTCTTAGCAGATTTCAAGTTTGCGATACAGTATCATTAACTGTGGTTCTGGAATGATTCGTCCTGCATCCCTGAGTGTTTGTCATCTTGGCCCAACTCTCCCCATTTCCCCAGCCGCTGGCCAGCAGCATTCTACCCTGCTTCTGCGAGGTCAGCTGTTTCCGGTCCCACACGCAGGTGCGATCCTGCAGGTTTGTCTCTGTGCCGGGCTTATTGCACGTGGCATGATGTTGTCTACGTTCATCCAGGTTGTTGCAAATGACAGGCTTTCCCTCTTCGGAAAGGCTGAATGCTACTCCATTGTTTATATGCTGTATCTTCTCTATGCAGCACGCTTCCCTCACTTGTTCACCCCTCGATGTGCACGGAAGTTGTGTTGCTGTCGTGGCTGCCGTAAGCACGGCGTGCGGCTCTCTCTTCAAGAGACCGATGCCCTTGCCTCTGGGTAAACACCCACAGGTGGGATTCCTGGATCCCACAGCCGTTCTCTTCCTAATGTTCTGCGGAACCTCTATGCTGTTTCCCAAAATGTCAGATTGGATCTCCCCCACCCCTCCACACTGAGGTCTTAAGTCCGTGGCTTACAGTCCACTCTTAGAGTGTCCTGTTTGCCTTTTCGTTGTAGTTTAGAGAAATAAAGGGGGGGCAGGAATAACTGTCCCCCCGGAATCATGGGAATGCAGGATTCCAACGCCATGGAGCGCTGGCTGCATGAGCTGTTTTCCATTCTGTGAACGTGTGAAGTATTTAGCGATTCTCTGAAAATCCTCAAAGGAATGTTTGTTTTATCGTGGAACAATTAAGCAAAAACCATCTATGTTTCCACCTTCATTTTAGCTTCCGTCTTAAGCCAGTATTATTATTTTTTAAGTCGTTCTGTGGTGGGTCCTTCTGGAGCGGATTAGGGACCCAGGAATGAGGCCATGCCAGCGTCGCGAGCGAAGTGGCTTTACGCAGGAAAGCTCCTGTGCTTGTTGCCCGTGGTCAGAAGCCAGTGGGACGGAGGCCGGGAGTCCACCCGCGGGTCCCCGCATGTGTGCGGGGCGCCCTCCCGGTGCCAGGGCCCTGCCTTCAAGAAAGAGAGACGTCCTCGGGGCCCCAAGATCAACAAACACCAGTGGAATCTAATTGACTCTGAAATCATAACCCTCCTTTTGGAAAACAAACGTTTGCATTTCTGGACAATGGAGTCATTGACCTCCAGAAGGCACGGCTGTTTCCGTGGGCTTCCTCTTGGTGGGTGAGCGTGGGGCTGTCCCTCCCTCCGAGGTCACCTCTGTCTTCCCGCTGTCCCGTCTCTGGGTGCATGCCTTCCCACGGCCGGATCTCTTCATGCCATTTTCCAGTCTGGCTCTCCTGCCATCTTCTCCGGAGGTTGGTGTCCACTTGAGCTTTTCATTTGGTCCACAATTCAAGTCTTTCTCTTCTGACTAGCTTCGTAAAGTTCCGGCTCTTAAGTGCACTCTGGGTGCTGTGGTTTTGTTTTATGGCTCCCGTTGGCAAGCTGTGTGGAAGGCGTAACCTGTCGTTTGAACCCGAACGTGACTGATTGCGTTTGTGTCTGTCCACGGAAGCTGACTCCTCCCCGGCTGGGTTAGTGTTCTTCCGGGACCTGCATCAGGACCTTCTTTCCCAGGTATTTTGCTGAGGAAGGCGTGACACAGCTCAGCAGAAGCTTGATAGAAGTGCAGGACCCAGGCCCCAGCCTGACCTCCTGAACCTGCATTATTTAATTTATTAAAAAAAATTTTTTTTTATTAATTTCAAGAGAGGAAGGGAGAGGGAGAGATAGAAACATCAATGATGAAAGAGCATCATTGCTTGGCTGCCTCCTGCACACCCCTCACTGGGGACTGAGCCTGCAACCTGGGCATGTGCCCTGACCGGGAATGGAACCACTGACCTCCTGGTTCATAGTTTGATATTCAACCACTGAGCCACACCGGCCGGGCTGTCCCTGCATTTTGAACTCCCTAAGTAATCGGTATGTACATTGAAGTGTGAGAAGCACAGGTTGAGTATTTGTCTTTAGGTTTTCTTAATTAAAAATGACATTGTCAGGATATAAACGGACACAGTTTGATTAAGAAATAAAAATTTTTTCCTACCATTTTATTATGAAACAATTTTAAATGATGCAGCAAAATTGAAAGGGTCTGCAATGAGCTCCCATAGCATCTCCCCTTAGATTTTTCTGTCAAGATTTAAAAAAAAAAAATGTTTTTATTGATTTTAGAGACAGAGCAAGGGGAAGGGAGAGAAAGATAGAAACATCTACCAACTGCCTCCCGCACACCCCCTTTTGAGGGTGGAGCCCGGAACCCTAGCATGTGCCCTGACCGGGAACCAAACCAGCGACCTCTTGGTGCACAGGGTGACGCTCAGTCAACTGAGCCACCCTGGCCGGGCATCTGTCCAGGATTTTGTGCGGAATTGTTTGTTTGCAGCACAACTGTTAGGAAAGGTCAGATCTGGGTCATTGGGGTCGCACCCTTTCACCTAGATTCCTCGGTGGGTTTGATAGCGTCGTGGTCCGTGTGGGGATTTCTTGTGAATCAGAGAAGCCTGGTGGGTGGCAGTGGGGGAGCCCCGGGTCATGCGGAGTGGCATGCTGGCCCTTGGCCCATCCAAACACCGGGCCTCGGCATCCTCGTGTATACAGGGAGTGGGTGGAGAGAAGTCATCTCTGATGTTGCCCCCACCCGCGTGAGTATCGGCTCTTGTAAATATTATCGTCCTCCCTGTCCCTCAGGTGGAGAAACTGATGAGCCAGTGAAATACCCGAATAATAAGGAAAACATGTGCTGGCATGGGAAAGCGATTATTTCCTAGGCTACTGAGTCAAACACAGCTGCGCTGGCCCTTCTCAGCCTGTTTTCTTGTCGATTTTCGTTCTTTCAGGAAACCTCACCGAAACATGAAGCCCTCAGCCACCTGGAACTCAGAAACCCGCTGGGGACCAACAACGGCGGCTTTTGGAACATCCAGGTGTCCGGCAGCTGTGAGACTGTGCCCTGCGCTCAGCAGCTGGAATCCCGACCAGATGCTTCGGCTCTGACATCCTGGGCCACGGCAGGATCACTTTCTAATCGGCCCCAGGGCCGTGGTGGACACTGACGTCCAACAGGCACACAGCCAGTCCTCTTGGGGGAAAGCCACATTTGGGGGCGCAACTTTCCCGACTCTCTTGAGTTGGGATTCTAGACGAGGGCCTCATTTCTGCAGCTCCCACCCTCCACGTAGGCACCACCACCACCACCACCACCACCAGAACGCTGGGCCTAAGCAGCCCCATCTTTCCAGTGAGGGGGTGGCACTATCTTCTTGCCACACACCAACCTCCGGAGACGTCCTGCATTGAGAGTGAGCGGAAGGGGACTCTCGGAGACGCCTCTCGTGGTGGCCGGCCATCGTTCCGTAGAGCCGGCACCCTCCCCTCCCCACCATGGCCTGGCTCTTTCTAAAGGTTTCATTGGTGGGGGTGAGTTTCCTGGGTTGCCTTTATCCTCTTGTGGATTTTTGCTTCCGTGGGGAAGCAAGAGCCCAGAGACCCAATTTTGTGATCATTTTGGCAGATGACATGGGGTGGGGAGACCTGGGAGCGAACTGGGCAGAAGCAAAGGACACTGCCAACCTTGATCAGATGGCCGCCGAGGGAATGAGGTGAGTTGAGGATCCTAAGTCCTAATATATATGTAAAAGTCCAAGTGACCGAACGACTGGTCAACCAGTTGCTAGGACGTGCATTGACCACTAGGGGACAGATGCTCAACCCACAGGATTGGGCTTCCTCCTGTCTGAATTGGACCTGTGGGGATCAGGCTCCCTCCTGTCTAAATCTGGCCTGCAGGAATTGGGCTGAAACTGGCTATCCAACATCCCCCGAGGGGTCCCAGATTGCCAGAGGGCGCATGCCAGGCCAATGGATCCCACCAGTGCATGAATCTGTGCACTGGACCTCTAATTATATATATATATAATTTATTTCAGAGAGGGAAAAAGAGATAGAAGCATCAATGATGAGAGAGAATCATATAGGCTGCCTCCTGCATGTCCCCCACTGGGGATCGAGCCTGCAACCTGGGCATGTGCCCTGACCGAGATTTGAACCATGACTTCCTAGCTCTATCACTGAGCCACGCTGGCCAGGCAGTCCACTTCTTTTTGGATGTGTTACTTGCCTCTTTTCGGGGGAAGGGACAGCATTTGAAGAATTAATTAATGGGTCCATGTTGATATAGTTATGGGATTGATTAATGTGGTATGAAGCCAGTCCATCCATCCATCTGATAACATTCAGAATCGGTGTGTGTTAGGAAATCGAATACCAAGCTGAACAATACTTAGGCACACTTACCCCAGAGGGTCTGCGTCTGAGCGGACAGAAGTGTTCCTTAGTTTTTTGTTCAAATGCCTAGTCCCTCCCCACATGGCTAGAACACAAGTGTCAGCTTTCAATCCTTTGGGCCTTCTTCTCGGGCTGACCTTGATCCGACTGGCCGGCTCAGGTCCCGTCTGCCCTGGGTTGCTCCTCCATCCTGCTCAGCGGGGCCACTCCCGCTCGCTGTGTGGGACGACGCAGGGGCATCTCCACGGAGCTCCGGCCACTTGCACCCGGGGCCGGGAGTGCCCCCTGAGCTGTGGGCCCTTGGGGTCCCGCCTGTGCTCTCACCTTTCCAGTCCAGCCTCCTCATCTCAGCCAAGGGGACTTCTCTAGAGACACTCCTCTGCTTCCAGTCCTTCAGAGTGACCCTGTGTCCCTGAGGATACAATCCAAGCTCCATCCACACTGTTCTGCAATGCCCCTCTGGCTTGCAGCTGTCCTCACCTGTGAGATTACTAGTGCACTTCCCACTTCCTCTTTTGAATTAGTTTCTACTCCCTGGGTTCCGATTCCACGCCAATTCCACGCGCAGTCCTCAGGAGAGCCTGCCATTGCCCCTCAGCTCTCCATGGCGGTCATCTAATCACCTGAACACCTGTGTTGGGTTCAACAGCGTCCACCCCACATTCATGTCCACCTGGAACCTCAGAACATAACCCTCTAGGATAGTGGTGTTAAACTCAATCAGAGAAGGGGCCAAAATCTAAAATTCAGCCTAAATCGAGGGCCGAATGGTTTACTGAACAGTCATAAACTGTCATTGTGATGGAAACGCAGCGGAGTGCAGTGATGACAGCGAGGTGCGGGCCACATTGCAAGGCCTGGCGGGACGGATTTGGCCCGAGGGCCTTGTGTTTGACACATGTGCTCTAGGACAACAGGGTCTTTGCAAATGTACGTGAGGATTTTGAGGATGTCCTATAGGATTGAGGATGGGTCCTAAGTCCACTGACTAGTGTCTCTATAAGAAGAGAGGGCGCCGAGACCGGTTTGGCTCAGTGGATAGAGCGTCAGCCTGCAGACTGAAAGGTCCCACGTTCGATTCCGGTCAAGGGCATGTACTTTGGTTGCGGGCACATCCCCAGTAGGGGGTGTGCAAGAGGCAGCTGGTTGATGTTTCTCTCTCATCAATGTTTCTAACTCTATCCCTCTCAATTCCTCTCTGTGTAAAATCAATAAAATATATATATATTAAGAAGAAGAAGGAGGAGGAGGAGGAGGAGGAGGAGGAGGAGGAGGAGGAGGAGGAGGAGGAGGAGGAGGAGGAGGAGGGAGGGCGCAGAGAGACACAGAGGTGGCGATGTGCAGATGGAGGCGGAGATGGCAGAGGTGCCTCTACCAGCCAAGAACACCAAGGGTTGCTGGCCACCACGGGGAGCTGGGAGCGAGGCTTAGATCAGATTCTCCCTCTGAACTTCCAGAAGGAGCCGACTTCTCACCTCCTGAGCTGGGAGAGACTAAATTTGTCATTTTAAGCCACCTCGTTTGTGGCCATTTGTTACGGCGGCCACTGGAAACTCACACGCCTGGATCCTAGCTCTAGGCATCAGGAAGAGAAGCGCCTTATCCATTCTTCCCCTTTATATTCTTAGCTCATGACACCATGCTCGTCACATAGTAGGCAATTCATAAATCTTGGCTCATCCATAAATGGGCTTTAGGCATTCATAACGCCTCCCTCGAAATGTCACCCCACATTTCCCACATGGGGATTTCTTTCGGGGGAAGGAGTTAAAGTCCATGCCATTGACCAGATCGTCAAAGGAAAATGGGTTGCAAAAGCTTGGGAACTTGTGCTTTTGGTGGTGAGTGGATTAGTGGGGAAATGGATATGTGTTTGTGGGGGGGGGGGGGGCGGGAAAGGGCTGGACATTCTTAGGGGCCGTCCCCACCTGCACACTCTCCTCCTGAGAAATAGGAGCCTCGGGGACCAGAGGCAGCAGAGTGCAGTGAGTTCTGCGAGTTCCTTCTCCCATGAATGGAAATGCTTTCTCCCCCAGACAGCCCTCTGGCCCGAGGTCCTGGGCCTCTCACTCTGGGCTCTGCTGACAGGAAGGCGGGCTTCCTGTGTGGCCGAGGATCACTCTCCCCCTGGCTGCTCCCCCTGCTGCTCCTGCCAGCGGGAAACCAGGGCTCCCAGACCAGAACGCTGACTGCCAAACTGGGAGACTCCAGAACGCATCTTTTCTATTGTCTTTTTTAAAGATTAGCCTATTCATTTCCTAGGACAGGCTCAACCAATCCTGGATGGCTTAAAGCAGTGGTCGGCAAACGGCGGCTCTTTGGCCCCATGAGTTTTTAGCAAAGGCCAGCTTAGGAGTACCCTAATGAAGTTAATAACAATGTACCTACCTATATAGTTTACGTTTAAAAAATGTGGCTCTCAAAAGAAATGTCAATCGTTGTACTGTTGATATTAGGCTCTTGTTGACTAATGGGTTTGCCGACCACTGTGCTAGAGTAACTCTGTGCTGGAATGCTCCCCCTTCCTGCTTCACCTCTTCTCCGCCCGCAGTTTAATTCTCCTTAAGCCGATGGTGCTGTTGCTGAGACTTCCAGGCGGTGGCTGAGCTAGAAATCCAAGGGCAGTGCTGGCCCCTGGGAGGTCAGAGGCTGTCAGGGGCTTAGGCTGTTTCTAAAAAGGGCCCCAGCAAGGAGCGAGCTGAGCTGCCCGTTCAGCCAAATGCCATTGGATTTCTGCTCTCAGCATTGGCTTTCGCAACTATCCCTCCATCCCGTTACCTCTCAGGGCTGCCTCAGCCCGCTGCGGGCCCTGGGGTTCGCAGTAACCTAGAGGAAGAGGAGAACCAGGCTGGCGCCCAGAGCTGCAGGGGAGTGGGATGAGGTCTGGCGGACGCCGTGAGAGCTAGAACTTTCTGAAGGAGACCTACGCCAGCAGGAAGAAGGCGCTTCCCCCACCAAGGAATTTCCATCCAGCTCTGCCCCCTCAGACTCAGGGCTGAGGACCTTCATCAGGGACACACCCTCTGGTGCTGTGACCTGCGTCGTGAACTCTGAGCTGGTTGCTTGGGGAGGTCCCGGCTTCCTTGTAGGTGCTCAGCGCCATGGGACAGGCGATTGTACGTCGTTGCTATTGGGTAAGAAGGTCAGGAGACGTAGAAATCACATCCTGCCCGCCTGGGGCAAGGGGAAGCCTATGGTAGTGGTGCTGCGGGCTTTAACCTCGTGTCTGCCTCAGTGGATGGGGACGTCCAGGCACACAATGATCCAGATGGCAGCTAATCTTAGAAAAAAGGAACTGAGATAGAAACTTGTGAGGCCTCGGGGCCCGCTTACTTCACAACTGCAAGTTCAAAACAGCTGCCTGGTAGCCCTCATTCGTTCCGCTTCTAAGCCTCCCCACGACATTCATTCAGCGATGAACCTCTACTGAGAGCAGCTCCTGAGACAAGGCCGGGACACCCCAGCCAGCTCGGCCCTCCGCGGTTTGCAGTCCTCTGGCCAAAAGAAGACAAGAAACCAGCATTTGGCATGCAGAAGGCGATGCGCCATCAGTGCGGGAATTGTGACATGTGACCCATCCTTCATGACCCAAGTTTACCTCCTACAGGACGGAATTAGCACAAGTGCCAACCTATGCACCTGGAGGTCACAGTTGGATTCCTGGTCAAGGGCACATGCGTTGGTTGTGGGCTCGATCCCCAATAGGGGGCGTGCAGGAGACAACCGATCAATGATTCTCTCTCATCATTGATGTTTCTATCTCTCTCCCTTCCTCTCTGAAATCAATAATAATAATAATAATAATAATAATAATAATAATGAATGTCCACGCTGGGTTTCTCACCTTCCGGGTGATAAGAGCTGAATTCCTCAGAGCTGCATCATATTGGAGACAATGCTATGGGACTGTAAGGAAAGAAAGGTCATTTCTCCTCAGGGAAGCCATGACTTGCTCCATAATGCTCATCTGTTAGGGGGCTGGGAAGTCCAAGGTCAGGTTGCTGCCATGGCCAGGTTGTGCTGAAGTGAATGCCGAGACCTTAAAGATGAGTAGGCATCAGCCAGATGAAGGGAGAGGAAAGAGTGTTGTAGGCAGAGGGAACAGCATGAACAAAGACCCACAGCTGGAAAGGTGCCCATTTCTAGAAGCTCCCCCAGATACTGTCCTCGGTGCTGGGAATGTATGAGTGCCCAAACAATAGGAAGCCCTCACTCTCCTGGCGCTGGCTGGCATCATAGTGGTTGACTATGGCTGGGACAGGGAGCGTGAGGCTGACCTAGTGGGCAGGTGGGTGGTGAAGGGCATCGTGTGCAT